AGAAAAGAGACAGCACTATCAGCCTAGCGCCCGTTGTATCCTTCCTCAACGGGCCATTTTTCTCGTTGAAAATAAAATAATTATTATGGAGCTAGCGAGCCGCATCCGTACATCAAAAGAGCCGCATGCGGCTCGCGAGACCCATGTTGCCGACCCTGCCCTAAGACAGGGGTCGGCAACCTTTTGAAGCGGAAGAGCCAAAAGTTACAATTTTCAAAATTTCCCTGGTTTTAAAGAGCCATTAACATTTTTTAAATTTCAAATATTTTATTTTTTTATTAAGATTATTAGTATTTGTTCAAGGAGCTGGAGAGCCGCATCTTGATATCAAAAGAGCCGCATGCGGCTCGCGAGCCGCAGGTTGCCGACCCCTGTTCTAGCCGAAACCCAAGGTATCGAATCTGTACTAGCAGAGGGCAGAGACCATGGGGTATTGAAAATGCCCAGGGGCCTTGGGTATCGAATCTCTTTCCCTTGGCACATGACACACAGGAAGTGTTGAGCTGGATGAAAAATTCATTTGCTCACCTTTTATAAATTTTAATCAAGCAGGCTAATTAGCGAGTACTGGCGCATAACCGGTCGACAGGAGTCAGCGGTTTTTATACAGGTCTCGACTCCCAGGGTATACTCCCTATTTTACTAGTCTAATTATACTTTTATACCGGCTGAATCTAATGCCGCACCTTCATATTTGTATGTTCATGATATAATAATATAAAGGAAATGTGCTACTCTAAACACCCCTCTTGACTTTTATCTACGCCACTGATTAATTTTGACACAATTTTACCGTTAGATAAAGCTAACGTAATATTTATTTGGCGGCTCCATTAGCTTCCAATAAACCGAATACCCCCCCCCCTACAATATAATCAAATCAATCTACCTTAACATAAGACCTAAGACTTATCCCAATACGATTTAGATAAGTTTAGTCTGACGCTGGAAATAGATTAGTACTCTAGTCTAGGGTTCAGCTAAAAGTTAAACCTCATGTTTTGGAAACGCAACCGGTTGTTATCAATATTTATAGACAGGGTAAAGATTCGCGTCTTTGAAAACTAAAGTTATGGCCCGCCCTTATTTACGGTCTGTGAAAAGAAAAGTAACGCAACATTCAAGTCAAAATGTGTGCGGGAATTTCCGATGAACGTTCAAATGGCGCGCACCTCCTCAAATGGAGAGCCCCTATCCTTAATCTGCTAAACGTTTGTAAAGTATGAACGGCGTAAATACTTGGCTGTCGCTATAAACACAGACAAACACACGTGTCTCTAGACGTTCTAAGTGCGTACATACACTGGGCTCTTGACAAAGGTCTAATTGTTGCATAATTATAATGTCCACAAAGACTACATTATTATATTTCCACTTGATTATACATTTCAAAACTTTTTTTAAAAATCAATTTTATTACCAGTGGTTGTGCAATTTATATATAGGGTTCTGTGTTCAAAGTCGTATAATATAATACCACTCATGTAGGCCCATGGACAGAAGGGGGGGGGGGCGACCTTACGATCATTATTTATATCTGTATTTTGGTGTCCGTGTAATATGGGGTCCCCTTTCCGAGGTCCGACCAATCTCCCCTTAATCCACCATTTATGTAAGTGTGCGTGTATGTATGCGGTGACACTGTATGGGCAATGTACATTAGCAGGTATTTTAAACATGCATTAAAGAGCAAACCAAACATGATAAAATTCTTTTTCAATCTTGATAACCGTTAATAATTCATACAGTCTTCTATAACCATGATATTGAGGATGAAATACCTTTTCAGTTTTAGATGTGTCTAAGATTTGGATATGGGGTTATGGCTAAGTTCAGGGTTACTGTTATCATTCATTGGGCAACAATACTAACATTTAGGTTGTGTTAATGTTAACGTTAACTGTAACGTTTTTAATGGTGTTTGTGATGTTTGGTATTTTATTTTATTTTAGCCACGTACCGGGTAGCGCCGGGTATTTCAACTGGTATAATAATAATATCAAACAAAAAACAAAATAAAAACAAAAAAAAGGACACATTTCGTTGAGAAAACTCACAAACTTTATTCTAATCAGATCTAAAGAACAAGTGCCCAGCATACAGTACGCGTTGTATGCTTGGTATCTTCACAGGAGAAAATAAAAAAGAAATCTATTTTTTATGGAACACGCACACAAGATTAATATTTATTAATTTAATACTTTCTTTTTAATGTTTAAAATTTGTAAGTACAAACATCTAATGCGCTTCAGGCTTGGAATGTAATACTGCTGACGTCACTTCTGTACAAACTTACATGCATCAACAAACTAATTTTAAATAGATATTTGTAAACAATGAACTCAAGCTTGCTGTACAGACACGATGTTTTGTAAAAACCAAACAAAAGCAACGAACTTCTATACAATAAATAAATGACTCGTGTTCTCGAGATAACTAGTGTACAGGATGATCTTTGTTAGGATCAGTTTCCCTGAAGTAATTTGTGCGTAAAACAACACAAAATGTATCACTCTCTATGTATATTTGGTGCGGTGAAATAGATCTTTTCGCGTATATTTGCGTGGCTACACATCACTCATAAAAGGTCAGGCGCCAGTTTTCACATCGAATATTAGAAGGGCACCATAGATGTAGCGAGGAATATTCGAAGAACGGGGCGCCCCAAATCTCTCCCCGTGTATTTGAGTGATAACGTACTGGTAATCAGTTTAATTTGCTCTGTTTAAAAGTGCTTTTTGGAAACAGTTTTTATTTTTGTGGATAAATTCTTTTTATTTACATTTTAATTTAACTGTCACCAAGTCTGACACACTTACTAGCCAAGATTTGTACATTATTTATAGAGATAGGTCATTTATACAAATAGAATGCTTACAATAAAACAAATATAGTAATGCTGAATTTGAATTTAATAAATTTTACATATATTCTTATTTTTTCAAAGTCTAGTCCAAATGTTCCTGAACTAGGAAGAGTTTAACATAATGAAATTTTACAAAATCAAAAATAATTTAGTTTTCGCAGCTGTCCCAACTTTGTAAATTAGCAAAGAAAATTATGTAAATTTTCTGAATTCTCTCAGTCTAATCTAGGAAATTAAAATCTTTCTTGTAGTAATAATGACGTCCTATAATTAATACTTGTTGAACGACAGTTAACGGGTTACTTTATAAAAACACACCTTTCAACACAGCACACATAGCACACGAATTGTTTTCTCCAAGATCTGAGCGTGTGATACATTCTTTCTAGAATCTAGGTCGTGGTTGAAACTAACTCTATGTTGTTGTCAAAGATGTTTCGTTTCATCAAAATTTTAAATGGACGGATTTAGTGCGTATTCGACGAATTTAAAAAAAAAATATTTAAACAAGAAGCCAAAAGTTTGACCAAACTCATAGACAAAACTTAAACATTGTCTGCATACTTCATGTTAATTTTTAAAAAGAAAAGCGAAAAAGGTTTATATTTAAATTTACATCTTAACCGAAGTTAACCCACACAAAAAATGGTCTAAACATGTCTAAAACAATCGTCACACTTTTTTAAATTTTGAAAGTACTAAAATAATAGAAATTTAAATAAGGAGCACTAATTTAAATAAATAAATAAGTTAAATAAATAGTTGCATTTTTATGGTAATGAAGCAATGGAAATTCTTATAATAGAGATCTATATACATTTCACGAATCTATAAATTTGTAACATTCAATTAATGAAAACTATTTTTTACATTTTTCACAAAAATATTTTTTTGTATGTACATTCACAGATGCACCCCCTGATATGAACTGTATTTCTACAGTGGCTTTAACATACCATATAACAAGAATGTATTTTAATACAATTTTTAAAAATGAAATTAGAAAAACTAACATCTAGGAAATAATACATTCAAAATTAGGAACGATAACTAGGTAATAGTGTCCTCACCTAACGCATTGAAGATTATGTGAGATGCTAAAATATAAATTAATCCTCTGGTGTACTTCATAATAATACAAGAGAGAAGCTACGTTATGTGATGTATGAGCCATTCTAACATGGCTCACACAGGAAGTTAAATTAAAAAATAGAAACTAGTAAAGACGGGATAGCCGCCCTTTACTGCTAGATTACTACTTGTTTATGTTACAAAAATCACAGTTGCGATGGGCTTAGTTTGACTAGACTTGTCACAAATTTTTAAAATTCTACATTGTATCACAGAAGTAGCTCTGATCAGAGAATAGCCGGTAGCTTTTCTTGTTTTTTAAGATGAAAAAAAAATTAAACATGCATTTAATGGGAGAAAAAATGAAATATATACAAATCAAAATCTAAAGTACACAATCACCTATATACATATCTCTATTATTTTTTTTTTAAACCTATTTTTAGATGACCTTATCTAGATGTCTCTGAACTAATTAAAATCATGATTATATCACGAGAGATGGGGAGAGGTTCCTCATGATTAAAAATTTTTCGTGAATAATTTTATTTTCACATTAGGGTGGAGATGGGGATGGGATGGGGGGGGGGGGCTGTGTAATGACCACTTAAAAATATCCCAGCGCCCATTAAATTTTAAGACTATTTGATCAGGACCCCAGCGCAATTTGTCGAAAATACGACAATTTTAAATAGCAATGAACATTTCCTTCCTAAATCATTCTCTATTCAATAAAACCCCGCTTGATTACACTTTTTAAATATTTTTTAAAAATAAATATATATAAAAAAAAAAAACACTGGCCAACAGTTATGAAGGACATAAACATAAATAATTTTTGATAATTTAAGCTATACAAATGTGTAAATGAAGCTTAAAAAATTTTAACTGGGTTACAAGCAAAGCAAATCCTGTTTTATAATATGTACACATTTTATGACATAAAGTTTTTATATGTACACAACTTATGACATAATGGACGGTGTTTATTCGTAGTAAAACAAGGGATACCACTTATAACCCTTGCTAGTTACACAAGGGAAATGACAATAAAAAGGGGGAAATAAGTCTGCTTTTAATAGACAATGTTCTGGAGTTTGAGTTGTCTTCTTATGTGGTATGAGAAATTAATACTGCATACGGTAATCGACACATCCTAACCAACCGCGTGTCAATCGACAGGATTTGGCGTGTGTATATGTGTGGGTGCACAATGTGTATATCGTGTGTGTGCAAGGTGTGTCTACCTGTGCAATCCCCACCTTGAGAGGAGGTGGGCGGGTAGATCACGTGACTGCCAATTGGAGGCTTGGACACACGAACTGAACGTTGGTAGGTAGTGAATGTTCTACATTCAACCATCGTACACAATGGACATATTTCGGTGATGTGAAGCCTGCTGAGCAGCTGATACTTGTGTAAAAAAAAAATTTTTAACAAGGCCTAAAGCCAACGTCATCATGGACTCGGCACATCGAACTTAAATTCAAACAACTTGTCCAGATCGAACTGGTTCCCAGATGAGTTCAGACCCAGGCTGTCCCCCCACATGGCGTCGACGTGTTCGGGGTCGGGGGATGGCGCCCTGGGGGTGTTCAAACCCCGGCAGTTCCCGTGGTTGTTGATGTGGTTGTTGATGTGATTGTCGTGGCTGTCCATCGTCCACCAGTCCGGCGGTTTGATGGTCGTGCCTTGGACGGTCAGGTCCAGGGGGTCGTTGCTCTGGAAGTCCAGAGGCATCTCGACGGGGAAACTGTGAGTCTGGGAGAAAAACTCGTCCAGACCGAGGTCGTCCGAGTTGGTCTCAGAGCTGGGCGGGCTGAGTGCCAGAAAGGGCGAGTTGTCCGCCTCGTCAAGGATCTCTTCCGTTTTGATCTTCCTCCCGCCGATATCAATGTCCTGGCTGAGGATGGTGGTCCAGTTGAAATCTCCCTTCAGCGTTAGAGAGTTCTCCGTGTCGTCGTCATCCACGCTAAAGTCCGAGGATCCGTTGCTAAGGAGTTTGTCTTCCCTTGTCGTGCTCTTCATGCCCGCCACACACAGGAAGTCGTCATCGTCCCCCTTGAACCGTTTCATGGGCGGGGATGGGATGTTGTCTCTACTCCCTCTTCTCTTCTTGAAGACCCCGTTCTCCACCAAGTCCCCGTACTGGGGGTTGATCCTCCAGAACCCCCCTTTCCCCGGCTCGTCCTTGCGTCTGGCAACTTTCTCGAAACATTTGTTGAGGGACAGGTTGTGGCGGATAGAATTCTGTTGAGTAGAAACAACATTCTCTATGTAAAATACAAGTCATTGACGCTATTTATAACTTATTTACTGGTTTTTTTTTTTTTTTTTGGCTTTTTTTATTTCATTTTATCAAAACAATTTATTTACAGACCCAGTTCGCTGATATTTTTATACAAGAGAGTGTTAAAACTGTGATATAGGCACACATACACAACACCCCTCCCCACAGTGGAAAAGACTGACAGTTGAAAAAATATTAGTCAAATCACAAGAAAACGGTGGTTCTTCTCTTAGCGTTTCAAACACAATTCTGTTTTGAGTTAGGGCTAGTGGTTAAGTTAGGTTTAGTGGTAAATTAGGTACCCTATACTAATGTAAAATACAGATTATGGGCATCAAGTTTGTGTTAGTAGCCTACTTTATTATTTTACTTCTAAAACATGATATATCGTGTTAAACATGGCACACAACAAGACGAATTAAACGGAACATGCAAAAGCTGGGTTTGAGAGTTTTTTTGTTTGTTTTTTAAACCGGACGACCCCATCTTGATGTCGTCGGCTGTAATCTCACATCGCGTGCATGTTGCCGCGCGCTATAGCGAATCAATAGCCCTCAATGGGCTCTTATGGGCAGAAACAGGCTCGAGTGATTTGTAATTAGTGGGCTAATTGTTGACTCACAAATCAAATCGATAACCCAAGTTTAATACCCCCCAAACCCGCACAAACAGATATTGAACAGGCGATTAATTGTCATTGCTAATCCAATGTTTGGACTGGATATGACTTCAGCTAGTCAAATTCAAAACACCATTACGATGAAGCACATTCATAGCTAAGTAATGTCAAGTATTTCTTCGATTGTCTCCCCTGCAGAGAGTTAAGGCCCTTCCTAATTCTGGTTCTTGTTTAGGGGGCTAAATCAATGAGCGCGTGTAAATAATTGAACAACCAGGACTTGCGGACATTCCTTGCACTTAATTAACTTAAAAATTTGCTGATTTCAAGGTTAATCACTGCGCGCTTAGGTAGGCGAATTTTATTGTCAACTTGAGGAAATTCAAATTCATGATAGAAATACGTCCAGTGAGGTTAGTTGTTTGGCTTCTTCATGTGTCACCAAAGGTTTTCCAGATCTGGAAGACTTATCAAGTTATTTTTTGTTGTGAACTTGGGGCATGCGATTCAATCGAGTGGTGACCACTAAGCTAAACCAAGTTTACTTTCCCAGACTTAGCCAGCTGAGTGAACTCAAGCACGTCCTATGGAACCTAACGTTAACCATTCGGATTTACATAGGCGTGCATTATTACTCGATAACATAACCCCTTTGCCTCGTGTCTTCCTACATTTTCAGTTTTTTTATGGTTTGGAAATAGAAATCAATATCTGCAATAGTGATTGGAAAAATAAGGGGAGGAAACTAGGTGCCGTGTTTTTGTTTCTCTGTTGCTATTTTTTGTTTGTACTGAGAATCATTTTTTTTTACTGCTAGGAAACAACATCAGTAAAGACTTTTGGTATGCATTCTCTCGCAATTAATTAAACGTATATATTCTTGTAGATATTGTAACCAATTATTTTTTTTTGGGTGGGGGGGGGGGGGGGCAGACATTCTCTCAGATCGCGATTTAGAGCAGTTACCGGTTACAAACAAAAAAAAATAAAACAACGCCAAGTTTTCGGAGAATGGTTTAAAAAAGTATAACTATAACGGCGTGGTGAGAAAACAATTTAAAAAAAAAAACACCTAAATTTTAGTTTAAACGTCACTGTTGAATCGACATAACTAAATTTAGTTGTAATGTGACATACAAACTAAAAATACTCCACACCAATGTTCCCGACATCAATGTTTCCCGACACCAATGTTTCGCCAACGAAACCAAACCGGAAGTTAAAGCCGTAAGAGGTCATGCTGACCCGAGTGTATCAATAGCCAGCAAAACAAGATCGATTCATGTTATCGATACTGTGATCGTTGCATTCGTTCTTAAATCAATTGTTGTTTTTTTTTTTTCTCTGCTAGCTGGCGATAAGATAAAAGTGTCTGTTTAATGTGTGTGGAGGGTGTGATGTGGTTGGACCAGGGATACTACGACAAAACAATTGGCTGTTTAGTAACGTCACAGATAGCTTTAAACTTTAAACTGGGATCAGTTGAAATACAACAAAATCATTGGAAACTTAAACGTCACAGATAGCTTTAAACTTTAAATTGGGACCTGTTGAAATAACACAAAATCATTGGAAACTTAAACATCACAGATGTTTAGCTTTAAACGCTAAGCAAGTATCAGTAGAACCTCGACAAAATATTGGATTTTTTTAACATCAGATCTAACTTTAAACTTTAAAACTAGGACCCAGTGTTTCTTTCAGAGTTTTCTTTCCGTGGGCTGTTGGGGGGGGGGGGGGGGCAGATGCCTAGAAGAAACTGCTATGACCAATGGAACTACGACAAAATTATTGGAACCTTAAACACGGTTGATTAAAATTTATACTTGGACTAAACGACGACAAAAATATAAGTATTAAATATCTAAGTAAAAACTGTAAAATATTTTATCAGTTTGCTTGAGTGAAGGTTGGGGGTGGGGGGGTGGTGGTTTTGTTTTTTACTCGTTTGAAATCTAATTAATATTTTAATTAAACCATAGAAAGATGAGTGCCCAAATAATTTGCCTCTATTGTGTTAGAATGTTAGAATTATGTGTTTTTTTTTTCAGCCGCCTCAACACCCTTCACTCTGCAAACTTTTTGTACCCTCCCCCACCCCCTTTGTTAGAAGCAGTGCTGTTCCTATTGGGTTTTAAAGTACCCAAAATGCAGTCTTCTAAGCCACGTTTCTCCCAACCCTCCATTATAATAAGCTAATCTAGAACAGCATTTGTTTTCATGAAAAACTCAATTCCGTATACACGTACCCCCCTCCCTCCCTCCCTCCCCCACCCCGTATGGAACACACGCCTGTTAGTAGTTAGACAAGGGCCAAAGTTAGACAACTGTGTTTAGACAAGGGCCAAAGTTAGATAACTCTCAGTACCAACCTGCCAACTTGGGTCTGTGAGACGGTAATACATGAAATTGTCAGTAATCCAGTTATATATGGAGGACAGGGTGATTTTATTTTTTCTGGTCGCCTTCATGGCCATGCAAATGAGGCTAGCGTATGAGTAGGGCGGCTTAACGTACGGGTTAGTCTTATAGTCTATGCCGTCGGGTGAGACACCTGAAGGAGCCGTATCACCCACCTGAAGACGAGGCTCCATTTTGTGCAGGTAGTTGTGGGGGGAGATGATGGAAGGTGAGCCAGGTGGTTCTGGGAAACAAAAGAGAAACCACACTCAGACTTTATTATTTTTTTTAATTTTAAATTCATTTTTTAGTTGTTTTTTGGAATGATAAAATAAACTTTTTTTTTTTTAAATTACTAAATAAAAAACAACTAAAAATGTATTTTAAAGGCATATATATATATATATATATATATATATATATATATATATATATATATATATATATATATATATATATATATATATATATATATATATAATAAGGTTTAAATTATTGGTAAAAAATTATATTGGAATAAAATCATTTCATTTATGTTGTTGTTTTCTAATACAGCTAAGCATTTTTTATAGATTTTATTTTATTTTCGCTTATTGTTTAAATGTAATTATTTAAAATAGCCATTTGATTATTTTTTAAACTATTTTGATAAGGAGATTTTTAATTATTTATTTTCTTCTATTAAATCTTTTGTACTGTCTTATGTATTTACCTTGTTTTATTATGTTTCGGTTGTTATCCAAACCGGAAGCAGACGACTGCCTGGGCTGGGTGATCTCAGACACCTTGAGGTTCTGCAGCCAGCCCAAACTGGTCAGACTGTCGTCCAGACAAGCGCCGCTGTGGTAGGTGTCCTGCGGGTGCTTGGCCATCCAGTTCTGCTGGAACTTTTTGGCCAACATGGCCGCAGGTGATAACCTTGGCCTTGACACGACGGCTGGGGCCTCCTGTACGAAGATGACCGGCATCTTCATGCTAGCACAGGTCTGGCTGGGGTGTAAGGGAAACAGCAATGGGCCTCGAGATTACAGCGTGCAGTTGTGGTGGTCAGTGGCTGACATTGTTCTGTAAAAAAAAAAGACAGGTTTTTTATGAAATATTTCGATCTATGTTTGAGTATTTCACTGTTAAAATTGCGCACAAGGGGAGAACGTAATGACCAATCTAAGAAGCAGCGCGTTAAAAATTCAAATTGTTTTAAAGAAATAAAACATGTTCTAGTAAAAAAAAATAGATGCAATTCCAACATGTATGTACGTGATTTTATTTAATATTTATTAAATTTTAAAAAAATGTTTTTAGGCTAAAACATTTTTACCATTTAATATTCACCCCCCTCCCCCGCCCCTCTTGCGAATATTTACCCTCCTTCCCCCTCCCCTTTCCCACAACGATGGTCGGACGGGCAGTGTCTTGTACAAGCGACACATGTAAGCCACCTACTTCCATTGTTTTCCAACCACAAGAATTTCCGGACGCGAAAAAAAAAACGCAGGAGAAAAAGAAACGCTTTCATATCTAGGTCACGCGCCCACCCAACAACGACACTGTGACCGTTAACAGGTTTCTTGATACGTCCACCACCCACCCCTTCCCCAATACTCTTAAATTTTGCACCCCCCCCCCCTCCCCTCAACCTCAAGTTTTCAATGATAAAAGTAGTGGTAAGATTTGGTAAGATATTGATTTTTTTTAAGTTATGCGGCAAAAGAAAGCTAAAATATTACTTTTCTAGGTTAACGAAAATGGAAAGCTTAAAATCAGCAGAACTAGCTTGTGTATAACAAGGTGTTGTGTAAGTCAGCCTGCAACCGGTGCACTGTCAAGGTATTTCTCGTACATTCTTCTGTCAGTCGAGTGCAGTGTTTTATGACAAACTAGCGGCACTGGGAAGTTGTAAAAGTCAAGGCTGGGACCAACACTGGAGTTTATATTAGCTCATTAAAACTTCAAAACGTCGCGAAAGGACTGTTATTATATCAATTCTAGACTTTTAAGGAAATATCTGTTCTGTCTATTCTCTCAATTCTAGACTTTTAAAGAAATATCTGTTCTGTCTATTCTCTCAATTCTAGACTTTTAAAGAAATATCTGTTCTGTCTATTCTCTCAATTCTAGACTTTTAAAGAAATATCTGTTCTGTCTATTCTCTCAATTCTAGACTTTTAAAGAAATATCTGTTCTGTCTATTCTCTCAATTCTAGACTTTTAAAGAAATATCTGTTCTGTCTATTCTCTCAATTCTAGACTTTTAAAGAAATATCTGTTCTGTCTATTCTCTCAATTCTAGACTTTTAAAGAAATATCTGTTCTGTCTATTCTCTCAATTCTAGACTTTTAAAGAAATATCTGTTCTGTCTATTCTCTCAATTCTAGACTTTTAAAGAAATATCTGTTCTGTCTATTCTCTCGGTTCTAGACTTTTAAGGAAATAATATTCTGTCTATTCTCTCAAATCTATCTTCTATTCTTTGCCCTGGATGGATAAGAATGGTTTGTTCTATTGTTACATTTTAAAGACTAAAGTCGGACACTGTTTTAAAGGGGAGATGACCCGTCCCCCATTGTTTTCTTCCAAAGTCTTATAAATTATAAAATTTATTCAAAATGCAGCATAAAAAAATATAATAATTTTTTTTTTAACAAAATTTAAAGTCTAAAGAAACTAATTCGTTCAACTGTAGTTTTTATTTTATTTTAATTTTTTTTTTAAAGGAACAAAAAATGCTATCTTCACGGGCAGGCGACGCCAATTAAAACTTTATCTGATAACAGTTGCTTTCGGCGATTGGTTTGTGACGTCATGAACGTGACATATGGAAGGGGAGATAACTGCTCAGTACAATGCTCCCCACCCCCTCCCTACACACTCAAAGCCACATATACACACATACACCTGCATTACAACAGAGACTTTTACTATTACTACGCCTAGTTGCCAGTACCTAACATAACAAACCTAGTTGCCAGTACCTAACATAACAAACCTAGTTGCCAGTACCTAACATAGCCTACCAGAAACCTAGTTGCCAGTACCTAACATAGCCTACCAGAAACCTAGTTGCCAGTACCTAACATAACCTACCAGAAACCTAGTTGCCAGTACCTAACATAGCCTACCAAAAACCTACTTGACAGTACCTAACATAACCTATCAGAAACCTACTTGACAGTATCTAACATAACCTATCAGAAACCTACTTGACAGTACCTAACATATTCTATCAGAAACCTACTTGACAGTACCTAACATAACCTATCAGAACCTCTTGCTGAATGTAACTAAAAATTCTCCAACTGTGCTCGAAGATGGAGAATCAATTCAAGACAGTTCATAGCGTGTACACATGCACAGTGTGTACATGCTAAGCTATATGCCTACAATGCACACACTGGTCATAGAATAATTGATGACTCGTGGAGAGAGTAGCTCTCTGTGAACCTAATCAACCAGACAAGACGTGAACACATATTGAACATACAACAGTCTTGAACGTATGTTAAACATACACCAGTCGTGAACGTATGTTGAGCATACATACATATTCTTCAACATACCATATTGATGAATGCAGGCATACAGATAAAAATATGTTTTAAAAATTCATTTATACATGATTAATTCCTGTAATAAGAAAGTATGTGGTGGGGTCGCGTGGTGGATTAAAGAACGTTGTTCAACTAAATATTAACTTGTAAGGCAGATATTAGCTGGAGTTTACTCACTCGCCCGTACTTGAAGACAATGGCCTGACATTTTTCTCCAGGCACGAATATTTGGTTATAGGATCTTGTATCAACTCCCACCTTACAAATAACAGCCCCCCAACCACCACTCCACCCCCACCACCCCCACCCATACATACACAAACCTCAGCCCCCAAACCCCACTCCCACCCCCACCCATACATACACAAACCTCAGCCCCCAACCCCCAAACCACCACTCCACCCCCCCCCCCCCAACCCATACATACACAAACCTCAACCCATGCTGACCAGGTCACGCGTCACGCCTGACCACTAAACAAAGGTTCCAGTGAAGCGAGATGGGACCTGCTTTAAACCTGAGACGGTATTAGGGGGTGGAATATTTCAATTATCAACTAATCCTGACCAATGCTCTTTGCCAGTGTGTTGTATATATATATATATATATATATATATATATATATATATATATATATATATATATATATATATATATATATATATATATATATATACGGAATGTAACAACCAAAGAACGCCAATGATACCACGTCTCACAGAATGGAATGTTGTTATTGTTATTGTTGTTATTGGCGGTACTGTTGATTTGTTTTCTCCCTGTTCCCCATAGCGTCTAATTTGAGGCGGGGCCGGTAGATCGAACACCGGTCAACCAGAGCGAGACTTCGATTGATCAATCAGGAGATCGATGGTCTCCAAGAAAAAAAACGTAACATTGTTGCGATGCAATGATATATAAACACCAATCCTAGCGAGGCGGGTTTTTTTTTGTTCTAAATGCCGGATATAATAGAAAGAAATCAATAATAAATTACTTGAATTAGTTGAAAGTAAACCGCACAATGCAGTAAGAACAATACAATGACGTAAGGTGGATAAAACTATCCATTAATACAATATTGATTTTTTAAAAATTAACCAAATAGTTGGAAATATAAAATGAAACATAGAACTTTCAAAGCAATACTTGGGGGTGTGGGGTGGGGTGTGGAGGTGGAGTGAAGATTGACTTGTCCTAAGAACGAACCAGCTATTAGCCAAAATGTCGAAACAGCTATTAACCTATCGATCCCCTAGCTAGATCTACTTGCAGCTTTTATCTACTTGCAGCACTTATCTACTTATCCAGGTAGGAACTTAAGTAGAGACATCGATAAGCTGACCGGGGTCTATATTGATCTGTCAAATTATCGATCGATCGATTCTTTGTTTAACCGCCCTACCGTCCTGGGTTATGTCTATAGACTAATTCGCGAGCGGTGGTCGCCGACTCGCTCAAATATGTGATCAGCCTCGAAGGTAATGGACACAAAAAATAGGCCGTGATGTCATAAGAATGTGTAATCGATCAATGAAAATAATCATGTTGATGTTTGGTGACAGGGGTGGTCAAACAAAAAATTGCTGACAAGGTTATTCCGTCTAAAAAATGTCAGGGTATGTCAATACAGTTTGAGAGTCTTTGTGTTGGGAAGTAAGGTTTTAATTCGTGCGTATTAGTGTTGTATAATATTGTTTAATGTCATTGATGCTATAATTTCAAGACTGAAAGATGCTTATTATAACTTGTTAATTTTTCTACAAGAAATATAGACTGAAATTACCTGGTGACTCTTTAAAACAACAGATGTCGCTGGCAAATCAAACTTTCGCTGGCTATCCGACACTTCTCCAATACCTTCTCTTCATCCCCCCTACCCCTCCCCAAAACATACACAAAAGAACTGCACACGCATTGAACCATTTAACAAAACAGTAAGAAAAATTTGTTCGCAATGAAATTATATTTAGCTGGGCTACACAGCCCGCGAAAAGTGCCATACTTGATTGGACACAGCACACGAAATAGACCAAACTTGATTGAACCCAGCACACGAAATGGACCAAACTTGATTGGACCTAGGCCATAATATGAGCCATACTTGATTGAACCCAGCACACGAAATGGACCAAACTTGATTGGACCTAGGCCATAATATGAGCCATACTTGATTGAACCCAGCACACGATATGGACCAAACTTGATTGGACCTAGACCTTGATATGGACCATACTTAATTGGACCAAGCATACAAAATGTACCATATTTAATTAGACCCTGTAGACGAAATAGACCATACCAAATGGGACCCAGCACACGATATGGACCACACTTAATTGGACCCAACACACGATATCGGATATAACCCATACTTGATAAGATCCCTCGTACTGTAAACAAATCGTTAACACTTTAACAACAGAAATATCTAAAAAAGTTTCAAAGCAACTGTTCTTCAAAGTTTGACCCATGGAATCTTCTAGCAGATGATCATAAAGATGAGCACAGTAGTA